TTGCAATCAAAATTAAATGTATATCTATTTTTTTTTATAAACACAATAACATACTTGTTGCTTGCATTCGGCATGAGAAACAGAATACAAAGAGTGATTTGTTGAAATCAAGACATTTGTTTGTCTTTCTAATAATACTATTTCCCATAAATTTGGCAAACTATTCATATCTGTAGGAATACAAATAATAAATACTACATATATTATTTTTAATTTATAGTTAGATAATTTTGTTTTATAATAATACATTCTAGCAAATGTTATGTTTATGACCATCAAAGTATGATAAAAATATTGGCAAATTTTTTTGCTACTGTTATTGTCTGTTTCATTAATAAAGTATTATTGACTCCCCTCCAGATACTTTATAGGCGAGACAATGATATTGTTTGAAAATGAGTTTAACAAATGCTATACTTCATTTATGTTTAGAAGGAACCTCGGAGAGGTTATGGCAGGGGATAGCTTTACTATATGACAGTGTACAGATAGTTGAATTGGTGGTACTTAGTTACAAACAGGTGTTGCCAGTCTACCACTATGAAAATGCCAAGTGATGAGGTTAGTAATTAATGTGAATTGAGTATAATAAAGGGTATAACATTTTATAATCAAATCTCTTAGAAATGATGTATTAAATAGTACATTATTAAATCCAACTATAAGCTGAAGTATTATATAAAGAACAGTTTTTACTTTACAAGGTTAAAATATATAACATTGAAATCACTATCAAATATTTTTTTTATTAAAAAAACATACCTGGAATATCCGGTAAAATGTGAACTTTTACTTTTGTAATATCATTCATAACATAAATATTGTATGTTTCTGTTAATACTGCTACTATAGTTCTTGTAAAGTTACTTGTAATTCTTGCATCTAACAACTTAACACCTTGTCGGTCCTAAATTAAATGGATAAAATAGTAAAAATAGGCAGATACTCAGTCAATTTTAATATTAAAACAACCTTTATCATACTAAAAGTATGCTGATAGTTTCCAAACAAATCATAAATTAAAACCAAACCATCATCTTGGCAACATAATATTTCTTCATTATTTGACCAACCTAAATTGATTAAATGGCCTGAACTCCACTAAAAAAATAATAATAGATTAACATTTCTATTTCTATTTATGAATCATTAGAATTGCAATATTTAATATTAAATTAGACTAATATATAAGGTATAATATACAATAACATACATTTTCATACATCAATGACCTATGCTAAATTAATTTATTCTAAAATAGTTAACAAATTATTTTATATATATATAATTTGCATATTGTTTAATATTTTTAATATTTATATTAGAATCTTAGTCTTAGATTGGATTCATGGATAGATGTCTTACATACCACAAAAGATGAAATAATTTTTCCAGATGATGTATATACAGAAATTATTGGCTTTCCAACTGTTTTAACCGACACCAATTTTGTTCGATCACGTATTACAATTACTGGTCCTCCACAAGGTGCTGCAATTACAACAGATGTGCTAATATCTATTTCATTACACCAATACATATCAGAATACATTTCAAGTTTCCTGGAAGTATAAAAAAAAATTAGAAATAATGTACAATTTTACATAATATTTTCTATTCAACCTGGATTTAAATTCTAAATATTTGTTTAAAATATTTAATATTTGTATAAACTTTTATTTTTATAACATAACAAATTTTATTTTAAACATTAGTTTAAAATTTAAAATACATTCAAGATTTTTAAGAAGTAAATGTTGATATGTACCTAACGATACGTAGTGTACCAACTCATATCATAGCTTTAGTCCAATATGTAAAAACTCAATACACTAAAATTATTTGTGTTATAATAATATAAGTAATTAAAGAGATTCAAGTCAAAATAAATTTGAACATAATGTACCTGAAGTAATTTTCAGTACCATATGGAACCCACTCAGATGTAAGCAGTGACATATTAAAAATTCAATAATCCAAATCAAATTCTCTAACACAAGACAAAATGAAGATGCTCAATTCTTCGATAATCTCATTATGATGAACACTTTATTTAAAAAGTCTAGGTATTTATTATTTAAATTTTCAATATAGTTGGCCCTTCGCTAAAATGCTTTTTATCATTTCTGGATTTTTGTTTAATCAATGATAACCAGATAATATATTATCACAGATTTAGGCCATTGCTATATTAACCACGGTTTAAGATAGAATGGTTGAGCGACGGATTCATACAATCCCACAGTACATTACGGCGGAAAAGTTTCTTATCAAATAAATGTTTTTACTCACTGGATACTAGCGCTTCCAGTGCCAACATGGCCTATCACCAAATGATGGCGCCAAAAACAATAATTCTAGACGGCATTTTAATATTTACTATTTAGCCATACCAAGAATAAAAAATAAATATAACTCTATTCTGTAAGACTGTGAACATTCTACAGAATGTAGCTATAGCCATACACATAAAAAGAGATAAAGGATATGTTAATTCGCGCCAATTCTATTAACCATGATATTATAATAATTGTGGTTATTGTGAATTAATTATAAAATTGTCATACTTGTTTTTATATTAATTTAAAAATGCCAAGTTATTGTTGTGTACATGAGCCTCACGAGGCATCAAAATCTCTTTTTGGAGCCCCCAAAAATGCAGAGATTAAAATATTGTGGGAAGAAGCATTGGGGATGCAACTTAAAAAAAGTCATAGGGTCTGTGCAAAACATTTCTATGAAAGTGATATTATTAGTACTTGGGACTCAGGTCAAGGATCCAGTAAATATACTGTAAATAAATTTTTTATAAATAATGTTAAGTTTTTGTATAATTAATCTTTTCTACATTTTGTTAGGTGTGTTTAAAGAGATTGCAACTTAAAAAGGGTGCAATCCCAATAAACATTAAAAATGATAATATTAATATTTGTAACGAAAATGTGGTACTACCACTAGGTCTTACCCACGGTTTAAATATTAATAAACAAATTGATTTTGGTAACGTCTCTAACTGTGAACAGACATTTATTGAACCATTTATACCTAGTAATGCATTGATTCCGCCACAACCTAAAAAAAGAAAGGTAAATTTCAAAAACAGATTACAAATTAAAATAGAATAAAATTATTCATAGTTAAATATTACTTTATTGTTTAAGCAGATTGACACATTAAACCCTTCAACTTCTTTATACCAATTGGTTTTAAACAACAGACAAATGATTGATGTACCAAAAAACTGGTTTCNATTGAAAAGCAACTCATTATTAAAAATGGTATATTACTATTTATTATATCAGTATTATAAAAGAACGGTATTAAATAATTAATTATACTTAAATGTAATATTTTTTAGATTCTAAAATAATTTTACTTATCAATAATAAAATTGTAACACACCATGAAATTGGGTTAAAAAACAGTCAACAAAAAAACCTAATAGAATTTCAATCACTTTTTAGTGAATTTGATAAAATTAAATGCTGTCAAGGAGCTTTTTATTCTACTGAAAATAAGGATATAAGGGCTTCATATGGTCCTCAATACATTGAATCATGTGGTCAATGGAGACACATATAGTGTTCAAGTGTAATTAAAGATGATAGGTAAATTATTAAGTAGTTGATAAAATTAAAATAATGAAATATATGTATAGTTTTAACTCACAATACTGTAATAAATGTGTTCCAGTAACTGCAATATTTGTCTCTGGTGTAAACGTCTACTGTATTCTAGTAAAAAAAAACGTGTAAGAATTAATAGTGGACAAAATATTTTAACAGTTTTTTCTCCTAACAAACAAAAAAAATATAGTAGAATCCAAAAGGCTAAAGAAATAATTCAAAATCAAAATTTTCGTGGAAATAGTAAAATTTTAAAATTGCAAAATAGTTTTAATAAAATTCAAAATGAAATGAAAAACATAAGTGAACAAAAATTAAGTGACATTTTTAATAAAGCAAACGTGTTTCTCAGGGTCAATCAGAACTAATTAAAGAAATATTCGCAGCAGCAAAATTTAAAAATCCTAAAAGTAGACGCTATAATTAAAACTGGATGTTATTATGCCTCATGTTTCAAATAAGGTAAGTAATAATAGTATAATATTCAAGTTTTTTAATAATTTACAAATACTAGAATACTTCATAGATCTTCAAGCGGTTATTCATTTCTTCGTGGACAAAATATCTTGCCATTGCCATGTGTAACAACGTTAAGACGTCACTTGTTAGCAGTTAAGATTGGATGTGATTTTGACAATAATTTCTTCAAACTATTAAAAAAAAAATTTGAGAATAAAACAGAGAATCAAAAAAAAGTTGTATTGGTGTTTGATGAAATATCTTTGAGAGAGAGTATATTAGTTAACACTAGAAACCTAACATACCATGGTTTGGAAGATTATGGTGATGAGTTGAATACTAAAAGTACAGAAAAAGCTAATCACGCATTAATTTTGATGATTCAAGGATTATCTGAGAAGTTTCATCAGCCAATCGTTGTCTTTGCCTCAAAGGGACCAGTTAAAGGTACATTTAAGTGAACCGTGTTTTAACTATTAAATAGTACAATAAGTTACATTTTAATTGTTGAAATTGAATAGGTATTGATCTAACTAAAATTATGCTGACGGTGATTCTATTGTTGGAAAATTCTGGGGTTCAAGTGCTAGCTATAACAAGCGATGGCGCATCAACTAATCGTACAATGTGGCATACGTTAGGGATTTATGCACAATCAGATGAAATACGAAATTCATTTACCAATCTATTCGACAACAATCGCCAAGTGTTTGTATTCTCTGATGCACCACATTTGCTGAAAACTGTCAGAAACCGGTTGCTCACTAAAAAAACATTAAGAGTGATTATTTAACATTAATTATTCATGAAATAGTTTAATTCAGCAATGAATATATAATTATTAATTAGTTTTAATAGTACAATATTTGAAAGAATATTAGTAAATACAACTTAAATAATTAAATATACCTATTATATTAACATTTCTTGTCGATTATAGATTAGTCCAACAAAACCTCCAATTAAATGGGCAATTTATGAGCACCTTTATGAAACTGATTCTAAGTCATTGACAAGAATTTGTCCAAGACTCACCAAAAATCACTTTCAACTTAACAGTTTCTCAAAGATGAAAGTGAAGTTTGCTTCACAAGTAAGATCAAATAACTCCTTATGAAAAATGAAATAAAAACATTATTTAATATTGTGTAAATTATCTTGTATTTAACAGATTTTCAGCAAATCAGTAGCAGATAGTATAAGATTTTTTAATACTAAATCATACCCAGGGTTCAATGAATGTGAGGAAACAATACATTTTACTATTTTTATGAATAATTTATTTGTCGCCCTCAATAGAAAATTTCCAGCAGAAGGGATAAAAAAAAATAGTCAAGATTTGGAGGTTTTATTAAATTTTATGTGTTGCACGTTTCTATCTGATGTTTTGTGGTACTAAAATCTTAGGAAAGTATTTTATTTATTTGCTAATTAATAATTTGTAGTAGAGTAGGTAGTTGTAGTTTTTGTAAATTTACTATATTTTATTCAGTGAAATCAATTAGTTCGGTACATAAATATGTTTGTTGGTTAAAGGTATTGAAAAACGCACTGACAGTTTTACATACATGGGAATTAAATGTGGCCAATAAATTACTGTCCGAAGATGACTTTAACAAAACAAACCGCTAAAGGATTAAAAATAACAATTAAGTCCACAATAGAATTGACAAATTATCTTCTTGACGAATGCATTTTCCTTATGTGTTGACAAGTAAAACTAATCAAGACTGCTTAGAAGTAATAATTAAATACCAACTATTAATTATTATATATATAAAATTATTGATTTCCTAAAAATATGGTTCATTAATTGTATGTGAATTTATTCTCTTTAGAAATTTTTTGGTACCATTAGACAAGTTGCTGGTCCCGATGACCACTCTACTACACCTACATTTTTACAACTATACAGAATGTTATCGGTATATTCAATAATCAAGCCCCCCAAATCAGGAAATTGTTGGATACTAGAAGGTAAACAATTCATTTTTTCACTAATTTAAGTACTTTTTCATATTTATTCTTCTAGAAAATATCCCAGTTATTACAATCACAGACCTAAAAACTATTTTAAATGATAAAAATGATGTAAATTTAAGGGAAATTAAAATAAATAATTTAAAACAAAAAATTGATTACATTGTTGAAGAACGTCAATGGCATTTTTTGAGGATGTTTTTAGCGAACACAATTATAGTGATGTCAGTTCTACAGCTTTTGAGTGTGCAGTTTATTTTATGGCAGGGTAGGTATACTATACCTACAGATTATAAAATAATTAAAAATACAATTTTTATGATTAAATTATTATTTTATAGATATATAAATAAAAGATTAATAAAAAAAACAAAATGTGAAACATGCCTTAAGAGTTTACAAACTATTTATGGAATATCATCAAATCCAGCTGCTGATTTGGTGAATTTGAAAAAGCGCGGATTTTTAACACATCCAAATCACTATTTATTCAAACTTTTAGAATCATTAGAATTATGCTTTATGAAACATGCTAAATCTTCAAGTCCTTTTGATGATTCACATGAAGAGTTCTTCCAGGCAGAGAACATAACCATAACTTTTCCATGTAATCTACATAAGACAGAAATTATAACAGAGATTTTTATTATGTACATAACAATGAGGATGAGACAGTATAGTTATACAAAAAATCAAGAACCTAAAAAATTAAACAAAACCAAGAAAAAAATTTCTAAATTAGTATCATCTTAGGATATAATATAAGCTTTTGGTTTATAGTGTATATAGTAAGATATTAACTATTACAAATTATAAAATTATGTCTTTATACAAACTATATTTATCCTTTGATTTACCCATTATTCCTTTTGGTAATCTGTTTTGGTTTAGAATAGAAAACCGTGGCCACGATTAAGATATACTTAAGTATATTATCTTGATTGGTCGTACCATAGAAAAATAATTATAGACAAAACGCATTTACGAAAAATCATTTTTCTACGTTTTTTTAAATAATCTTAGAGACTAGACTAAAATCACCCATTACAAAAAAGATATAGAATAATATATTTTTTATGTCGATTTTATATTTTATTGCTCCTTGACTTTGTATTCAACTTTCAATATAAACAAAAAAA